ATTTTTGAGTTGTATTGTTTTGGAAATTTCGATATGTATTTTGCACTTAACCATTGTTTCATGCTTATGGTTTGATTTAGTTAGTGGCAAGCATTACCTTGTCTGTTCTTGTTCATTTGAACCATAAAATTATCATGTGCTAAAAACTTGTTGTTTCCTAATTTTATGGTTTGTCTTGGTTTTCTTTTAGTTGGAGAATTTTTGTTTAGGGACAAACAAAATGTTAAGTTAGAGAGAGTTGTTAAGGACCAAAATATTGATATAGTTGTAGATAATTTTATGTCCTTTGCACTCTATTTTGATAATTAGTAGTGTTTAAGTTTGTAAATAGATGTAAATAAGCAATTATATAGTTTATGTGGTAAAGTACATTGTTTACTTAGTTTTATGCTTATTTTGTAGATTTTGATGTTGGTCATTGGAGCATTGGGGCTTTGGGCAAGCTAGAGCCAAGAGTGAGGTGCAACAAGTCAAAAATTGAAGATTTGTTTAGGCTAGTACGCTAAGCGCAATTTGAAGCATGCTATGAAGATTTATGCATTTGGCAGAATATCATTTTTGGGCCCGCTAAGCGGTCTTGTCCCGCTTAGCGCGGTGCACTGAATTATAAAAAAAATTCATTGAGCCCGTTTAGCGAGACTCGATTTTTGGGCATTTGTATAAGTAGCATTTTTTGTGATATTTTGGGGACCAACTCTTTTCAAACACATAAAAATCAGATATTTAGATCTAAGAAATACTTTTTATCATTTGTAACTCAAGATCAAAGATTTCTACCTTAAATCTTTGATAATTTCTACTTTATGTTCATCAAGCTTTCTACTTTACTTGTTGATCAAACTACCATGATGATGGGTAGCTAAATCCTTCTTCGTGTCAAAATTAGAGGTAGATAATCTTCACCTTTGTATGTATTTAGCTTGATATTTTATATGTGAATATGTTGATGATAAATATATGGTGAAAGCTCTTGTTTTATGGTTTATATTTGAGTTGATCATTATTGAGAAGTATATTCATATTTTGACCTAGGTTCTCACTTATCAATGACCAATTTCTGGACATAGTTTTGTGAGTTAATATTCAATAATATTGAGCTTTTAAAGTTATCAAATTGATAGTTAGGTAGAGAGATCATCTAACGATCAATTTGATAAAACTCACAATTTGTTTTAGAGATGAAACATCTTGAGAGGATATGTGATTATGTTTATTGTTAATGAGTTCACATACTTTATTGAGAAAATACGTCTGAAAGAGATTATCGAGTCCTCATTTTGACACGTTTTTACCAAACTTTTAAAATCAAAACTTTATTTTACCTATACTTGATATTTTGTATGAAATCAACATTTTCCGTTACTAAAATCAAAACCAAACCCTTTTATGAAACTTAAGCTTAAAGCGATTATAACTGTAGAACGACGGTATATCACACCAATCTCCGTGAAAACGATAATTTAAATACTTATCCTGTAAAGTGTTTTCAACATAGTGGCATTATCACCGTGCGAAGTAGAGTACATAACTGTTTCTCTTTGTGTATGTCAAGCAACTTGGATGGTGAACTTGGTCAAAGAGATAACAAGGAAAGATCATGGAGCAATTACCATGAAGATCGACAGCATGTCAGCTATCAACTTGGTGAAGAATCCGATAGTACATGGTCGAAGAAAGCACGTCGAAATGAGGTTCCACTATCTTCGAGAACAGGTAGCAGATGAGAAGATGAACTTGGAACATTGCAGAACTGAAAATTAGATTGCAGACATCATGACAAAGAGTGTGCAGGTCGAAGTATTTCGAAGACTAAGAGCTATGATGAATGTGGATAGCTTAGGCACAATGAATTAGGTGGCGTGTTGAAAGTAATTCCTTGTGTCAAAGTTGTTTGCTCGACAGAGACAAAGGAGTGTCGAAAAGATTTGATTTAGTGTAGAGACAGTTTATTACACACATATTTGATTTAGATCTAAAATAGATAGATTTGATTTAGGTCTAAATTATATTGATTTGATTTAGTTCCAAAATATATATTTTGGGCTTTTATAGTTTTGGGTTTTTGTCTTAGAGATCAAGCTAACCTAAATCTATAAATAGAGAGAGTAACCCCTATTTTGATAATCAAGTCAATTCATTGTATTCACAGAATTTGCAATTGTAGGTGAATAATAAAGTTTTCCACAGTTTGTGGATAGAGAGAGACTCTGCAGAAAATAATTATCTTTTTTTCTTTCTTTTCTATTCATATAATCAATTGTCATTGTGTGGTGATATCAATTTTGTTCATCAAAATTGGTGGAAATTCATCATAGGTTTTGATGAATTTTCAACTATACTTAACCATAAAATTATCATTAAATCACTATATAATTACTCATTAATATTTTAGTATATATATTGTGTAAACTGTACATATAGAGTGTAAATTTAAATTACAAAATTACCATATAATAAAAATATATTTTGCATTTAGTGCATAATTCATTATATTCCAAAAATTACCAAATTTATAACGTTAAAATTAACAACTACATGCAACCAAAAGTTTGAACTTATGGACGTCCTCCAATATAGAGGAACCAACCCATAACCTTTAATTCATTAACGCTCAATTTTACCTTCCTAACATCTTAACTCCAAAAATAAATAAATCTCTTTGCACTTATAAACCTCTCATTTCACTTTTGTTTCATCACACAAAATAAACCTCAAAATATAATTTACCATAAATTCTCATCTCCTACAAAACCTGATTATTTCTTCTTCTTTCTTGATTGTATCTTTCTTTTCCAACATTCACAATGAAAATTCTCATTTTTATCTTGTTTTGTATACCATGTTATGCTCTTGCTTTTGAAACAAAATCCATCATAGATTCTCCTATGCTAACGAAAAATATAGGAACTAATCGTACAATCATAGTCGATATCAATGGAAAGGGGGACTTTAAATCAGTCCAAGCTGCAATTGATTCAGTTCCAGTAAAAAATTCTAAATGGGTTATCATTCATATTAGAAAAGGAGTATATAGGTACATAAAATTAATTCTTTTTATTAATGTTATCATTATATTTTGTCATTAATTTATTAAATTAGATTTTTATTTTGATGATGTGAAGAGAAAAAGTGCATATTCCAAAGACTAAACGCTATATATTCTTGAGAGGAAATGGAAGAGGAAGAACTGCCATTGTTTGGTCTCAAAGTTCATCTGATAATGTTGAATCTGCCACCTTCAAAGCTGAAGCCCCTGATTTCATTGCCTTTGGAATTAGCTTCAAGGTATAAATTGATGCTTCATATTAATATTATTATTATTATTATTATTATTAACTTTTTGTGAAAAGAAATAACCCTAATTTTGACTGGCGATTAAATTAACAATCTATTCAACTGAATTAACCACGTGATTAACCTAATTTTTTCAATGTTCTTGCATTATAGAATGAAGCACCAACAGGAGTTGCATATACTTCACAAAATCAATCAGTGGCAGCATTTGTGGCAGCAGATAAAATAGCATTTTACCATTGTGCATTTTATAGTACACATAACACACTCTTTGATTACAAAGGTAGACATTATTATGAGTCATGTTACATTCAAGGTTCCATTGATTTCATATTTGGTCGTGGAAGAACAATCTTTCAGGTGAGTTACTTGTCATGTTTCTCTTGAATCCTTATAGTTATTACAAAAGTGCAACAATTATGTATTAATATTAATCATAAATATTTTTGACGCAGAGTTGTGAGATATTTGTTATTGATGATAAAAGGATAACAATTCATGGATCAATAACAGCTGCAAACAAAGAAACTGAACGTGAAATGAGTGGATTTATATTCGTTAAAGGCAAAGTTTATGGCGTTGGTGGAGTGTACTTAGGAAGGGCTAAAGGTCCTTTCTCTAGGGTCATTTTTTCTCATACATATCTCTCAAACACCATTGTCGCTGAAGGATGGACCAATTGGAGTTATGATGGTAGCACAGAGTAAGTAAATTAACACTCAAATTTAATTACTATTTTTTATGAAAATTAATATACTTAATTTTGATTTTTTTTTTTTAATTATATAGTAATCTTTACCATGCTGAGCATAAATGCCATGGACCTGGTGCTACAAAAGAGGGAAGAGCTCCTTGGTCAAGGCAACTTACTGATGAACAAGCTGCTAAATTTATATCTATTGATTATATTGATGGCAAGAATTGGTTGCCAGCTTATAAATAATCATATCATGTGTTTGAACTCGATACGAAGTGGAATTTGATACAAGAGTAGATGTTATTATATAAGTATACTTTGTCATAGCGATATTTTCATTTTATGATATATATGTGCTTTAGATTTGTCTATAGCTAGTTTTTAGTTATATAGTCCAAGTTGGTAAGGAAAGGGAAAAGAAGAGTTATGGTTATATCTTCTTTCATTTATTTGAAATTAATATTATACGGTTGATTTGTATCAAATGAGAAAAATGCCACTTTTGATGTTTGTTGATTATTATTATTCCAATGGATTTTTTTTGTCATTTATATTGTATGTGTATATTTTGGATCATCTCCTTCCTTTTTTTCTTTGTTTTATCTCTCTCTTAAATCAATGCCCTCTCTCTTTATTATAAGATCATTTTATTTTGAAGAGAGAGAAAAAAAAGAGATAGAGAATTACGAGAGAAATGAAAAGAAAAAATGGAGGACAAGATTTAAGTTAATTTGAGTAAATTTTAATAAAGATAAGATAAAACTTGGAGTACTAGGTATTTCTATAAGGATAAGAGAAAAGATGTATGATAATAGTATTGAAAAGCATAATAATATCTTAATAAAACTAAAGACTTAATTAATAATTTGTTGGTATGAATTAGGTTGTTTAAATTCATATATGGAGAAGCATCATAAAATTTAGAATTTTATTTAATATAATAAAATTATTTTAAGTCCATATTTGGATGTTACATTCACGAGGAAATATTATAACTTTTACTTTTAAATTAGAATTCGCCACCTTCATTACTGTCACCTTCTCTTCCAAGACCTCCCCTAACACCGATTTCCACACCTATATCACCATCAGCTCCACTTCCATGGCCTCCACTAATTCCACCTCCGACACCACCATCAACTCCTCCTCCTACACCTCCACCACCACCAAATCCTCCTTCAATGCCACCCCCATGACCTCCATCAGCACCACTTCCAACTCCTTCTCCAATACCTCCATTATTTCCGTCACCACCACCAACTCCTCCTCCAATGCCACCTTCATGACCTCCACCAACATCACTTCCAAATCCACCTCCTATTCCTCCACCCTTTTCGCCACCATTACCAATTCCTCCTCCGATGCCACCTCCATGACCTCCACCATTTTCGCCACCACCACTGACTTCTCCTCCAACACCTCCTCCATGACCTCCACCAAATCCACCTCTAACTCCACCTCCAGAACCACCCCCAACTCCTCTTCCTACACCACCATCGGCTCCTCCTCCAATGCCACCTCCGGCTCCACCACCAGCAACACCTCCTCCATGGCCTCCATCAATTCCACCTTTAGCACCATCCCTAACTCCTCCTCCTACACCTCCGTCACCACCAGATCCTCCTCCAATGCCACTCCCATGGCCTCCATCAGCACCACTTCCAACTCCTTCTCCTATACCTCCACTATTTCCGCCATCACCATCAGCTCTTCCTCCAATTCCACCTTTATGACCTCCACCAACACCACCTCCAACACCTCCTCCATTGTTACTGTCACCATTACCAATTCCTCCTCCAATGCCACCTCCATGGCCTCCACCAACACCACCTCCAACACCTCTACCGTTTCTGCCATCACCATTGGCTCCTCCTTCAACACCTCCTCCATGACCTCCACTAAATCCACCTTCAGAACCACCCCCAACTCCTCCTCCTACACCACCACCAGCTCTTCCTCCAATGCCACCTCCAACTCCTCCTTCTATACCACCACCTTTGCCGCCTCCAATGCCTCCACCTGATCCGCCACCACCTCCTACACCTCCGCCATCTCCATGGCCTCCACTAGCACCACCTCCAATTCCTCCACCGTTACCAATACCCACACCACCTCCAAATCCACCACTTTTTCCACCATCACCTCCAAATCCACCAGCTTCACCATGTCCACCTCCTTTTTCAAACCCTCCTCCACCACCAAAACCACCACCAATGCTTTCTAGGGACTCTTCTTCTTTGAGTTTGCGGCACTCTGATATTCCTATCACCAACATTAACATCACACAAACTATTCCAACTCGTTTATTTAACTTTGCCATCTTTCGTCACTAAAAGAAAAATAAGTTAGGGATATATGCTTTACTTACTTGTGCTTTGGAAAGCTAACAAGGAGTGGTGATATTTATAGTGGAAAATCACAGTACGTGTAGTTAAGATCTCTAATTCAGTGATGTTGATGCTTTCTCATAGTTTTCGAATCCAACATTGAGCCTCAAAATTCAAACTTATGTGGAAAATTGAGAAAGAAATTTGTGAGTAACATTCAACGCATGACACCTAACTGTCTAGATATATTGGAAAACAATTTCCATATCTGCCGCCTAATCAATAACTTGATTATCAATACTAAGCTTTCAACCCTAAAACTTTTGATACAAAAGACTTTAAATCTTGCGAACTGTAATGCCATATATGGGATTGGAGAAGATGGTAACAAGCTTCTAAATATTTAATCTAAAAGTTGCTTCCGACAATTTTCCTCATATACTAAAAATGGAATAAATAAGTAGGTGCCGGTGTAACTACTATGTCTTACGTTGATCTATTACCTTCGCATTGAATAATTTTATCAATTATATAGGACTTTTTTTTATTAATAACCATGTATTAAAATAATATTTCGCAAATAACCGAATTTCAGAAAAAATTACGCAAATAACAATGTTTCAGATGGCTCCACAAAGGAGGAGCCATCTCACTTGGCGCCTCCACCTAGGGTTTTGCCCTAGGCGCCATCTCACTTGGCGCCTCCCTTGACTTTTAGCCAAGTGAGATGGCGCATGCTCCTTAAAAATGAGAGGAGGCGCCATCTCACTTGGCGCCTAGGGCAAAACTAGGGCAAAATGCTGTTTTATAAATAATTCGTCCGTTTCTTCGAAATTTCTCACACTTTCTCGTACTGTATTTTTATTTTGTACTCCGTTATTTGCATAATGACGTCGCCTATGATTTTTAGCAGAGATGGTTACGTTATATTCTCCGCCACCAAACCTGCGATGAAAATGAAATTCTGGCACATTCACTCCATGGAGCGTCTGAAGCGGGAGTTGATGCGGTGGCTAGATGGAGACATCGCGGAGGGGGAAAAATTCGAAGGATCCAGCGAAAACGAACAACAACCTCACATGTGACAGGAAGACCTAATGTGTGGTTGGAGGAAGTCAAAACAGACAGTGATGTAATGCTGATGATGCATGGGTCAGATGAAATTGTGTTAACAGTTGTAATTTCCTAGATTGAATATCGTTAATTATTGTTGTACGCGTTTTATTAACTGTAGCAAAATCTGTTAACGGAAAACCCTAATGTTTACAACACAAATATTGAAAAGATTTATTGTATTACAATATTTATGTGGTCGAGCCAGACGCCCGATTCGGACAGTTTTTGCGATTGTGTCCGACCTGACGGCATAAACCACACTTTCTTTCCAACCTGTCAAGATCGTCCATTTCTGTTGTGATGCGCCTACTTTTGGGACGACCCTTCTTGTTCCTTCGCATTTGGTCATTGTGCCAAACTATATCGCCGTTGTATTCAGGCCAATAATCCGGTTTTGCCACCAAAGGAAAGTTGTTGTTGTAAACAGTGAGCAACGTTTCAGATTTGTAAACGTTTGACAGCAGTTGAAGCGCGTCTTGATGGGTATGAGCACAAGCGGCAATGACATGAGAGTAAGGCATACGAAATGCTTGAAACCTGCCACAATCGCACCATTGAGAAGGTAAAATGACCTTGTATTCTTGTCTTGGCAGGCCTTCATTGTGGTCGATTGTCTCTTTCACAATGAAGTTGTGGCTGTGTCGGTCAAACCGTGTAACCATGTGAGTGTTGGCTTTAGCACTTTCAGCCTTAATGTATTTCATGCAGCTTTCACTCCATAGTTGTCCTGATTGCAACACCGCATTCCATATTTCACCTCTTTTGGCAAATAACGCAGCCATCCTAAAATACGTAGATTTTACCAAGGCAGTGATTGGGAGGTTTCGTATGCCCTTGAATACCCCATTCATTGATTCAATAAGATTCGTTGTCATATGCCCCCATCTTTGGCCATTGTCGTATGACCTAGTCCACTTTTCCACCGGAATATTGTCGATCCACGTACCGGCTTCTGGATTAGACAAACGGATCTCGTTGCGGTAATATTTGAATGTGGGTTGTGTCAATGCATATCCCGCATTCATAACCGCTTTCCTCAATGTTTTGTCCTTGATCTCCCTCGAGAAATTCTGGACGATATGCCTGACGCAATAGACATGCGTAGAAGGAGGGTCATGCCAACCATTTGCTGGATTATTGTAGGCACTTTCAATTGAGGCATGTATGTCCGAGATCAAACAGAGATCTGGTTGAGGAGCCACGTGTGTCCGAAGATTTTTCAGGAAAAAGCTCCAAGCACCACCGGTCTCCCCACTATGCCAGAAATAACCTACGAAAGCGCTTTTTTTGGGCTTTAAAAGCGCTTAAAAGCGCTCTCGTAGGTGGCGCTGCTAAAGGTTTTAGCAGCGCTTTTTGTTCAGAAAAAAGCGCTCTCGTAGGCCTACCTATGAAAGCGCTTTTTGGTAAAAAGCGCTTTCATAGGTAGGCCTACGAGAGCGCTTTTTTCTGAAAAAGCGCTTTCATAGGTGTATTCAGAATGCGTGTCAGGCAATCTAAAGTAGGCCTATAAGAGCGCTTTTTGTTCAGAAAAAAGCGCTCTCGTAGGCCTACCTATGAAAGCGCTTTTAACCAAAAAGCGCTTTCATAGGTAGGCCTACGAGAGCGCTTTTTTCTTAAAAGCGCTTTCATAGGTTTTCTACTGAAAAATCTAAAATTTAAAAAATTTCTAAACCTGCATTTTTTTGCAGCAAACCTGTAATTCTTAAACCGGTATTTTACAATCTAATCTAGAAATACCAATATATATATTAGTTTTAATCCAAATACCAAATGTAATTCAAATACCAAATATTATATATATATATATATATATATATATATATATATATATATATATATATATATATATATATATATATATATATATATATATATATATATATATATATATATATATATATATATATATATATATATATATATATATACAAATACCATTATAATCAATTCATATCCAAAATATATATACACCATGGTAATTCAATATTAACATGTTTTTAAACGTAACAAAATACACCCTAAGAAATCAGCTATATAACACTAAGTAAATCAATCCTAATCTACATATATATCCAAGGTCCTGATCCTGCAATATGAACATAATAACACGGTCAGTGTTGTATACACAAAACAATATATTCATAATTAACCAATTTTCACACAACAATGTATTCGTACCTTATTATAAGATTCTTAGCTCAATAAAATATTGGCACAACTCCTCTTTGAGTTCTTCCAATTGACGTGGCGAGTAATATGGACAATTGTATTGATCAAAATACTACATTACAAAACAAAATATATGCATGATTTAGTTTAATGTAATAAATTATGTGCAAAATCCGATAAGTAATAAAACAAAGTATAAATCCATACCGTGATTGGAATCTCGATTTCATTCATTTGAATGATTTCTTTGATAAACTTCAAAACAAAGTATCTGCAATCTATGCCGTTTTGTTGTTGAGGGCACTACATAGAAAAACAAATAAGATTATACACATCTATTGATTTATCAAGTAGCATAAATATTATAAGCAAAATTGTTGAAATTTATATACCTGTACTTTGATCCAATTAATGTTGTTTGATTTAGACCGTGGTACTCGTGCTTCCCTTTGACATCGGAATACTTGTATTGAACTGATGACAAAATTAAAATATTTATTTAGAACAATGACATTGAAATAATTAAATATATAAACACAAACGAATATTTAGAATAATGTCACTTACGTATCAATCAATAGCTTCATTTCCGGATAATTTGTCCAATCACCGTCAACCGAATTCAGGTAATAGACCACTTCTTTTATGGGATTGATTGCAAGCAACAACCAGTGACATCTATAAATTAAAGCAACAATTTAGAAGCGAATTTTAATGTAAAAAATACAAATATTAAAAGGAGCTTAGAATGAAAATCTAACCCTGTATTATAAGGCAAAAGATACAAGCTCTCTGTACTGGCAGTTGTCATGAATCTTTCGACCAAGTGTTCTCTTACTGAATCAGGTTCCCTAGAAATTGTTGCTCCGCTGACACGGGAGGAAGACACGAAACGGAATCTATTTGACAATTGATTCCCGCGCATCAATTTGTCAAATAACATCCTTAAATAAAAACATAATTAATATTAGACTATTTCAATTAAATGTTTAAAAAAATGTTCAACCAATTAAATAATATATTGATGGGTTACCGGATGTACGAGTGCATCACACTGATGCCTAACTCTCGATAATGAAAGATTTGTTCCATGTCCTCTAATCCAATTGTTTCGGTACATGGAAAACCAAAGACAATTTCATCCACATTGATTTGACGAATTCCATCATTCATCAAATCTGATGTGCCAACTAGTGTCTCCAGACACTGTCGATACCTAGGCACAAATTTACAGACAGGAACCTTCTTCTTAGGTGGAACCCTACTAACTTTCTGGCTCACCTGCTGTGACTGATGTTGAGAAGGTACCTTAAAAATCATATAGAATTATGTAAGATACAAAGTTATGCAGTTTTTTATTCCTATCATAAATGAAACACTTTAAAAGTACCTGTCTTTGCGATGCAATAGACTCGCCGCGCTGCAAAATCCCTTTATCCTTAGATGCGGGTTTTGTAGGAGTCTAAAATTACCATGTATAAAATTCAGGTCAGAACTGTCAGTTGAATACTTAAAGATTCATAATGGTTTTCAACATACCTGATCATCTATGCAGATGAGGTCTGATGGCCATGCCACAAAAGATCCTACTGCATCTCGCAGCAATGTGGTCTCCGCAACAATGTCAGGTACCGGTAGCAATGCATTCATATCTAAAACAACATCAACCGATACCTTCATGTGGCCATCCGGGAGCGGTCTATGGTGA